CTCGTGTAAATGAGGATTTGTTAGAGCGAGAAATGGAGGAAAGGAAGAAAATTCTTTATGTGCGACCAATAGATGTGCAGTATACACCCAAACACAAGATGCGTGGGCGAGGGACTGGATCACACAAGGTTAATCTTCGATACCTTTTCAGAATCATATTTTTTTCTTTTGAAAATCCTTCAATCTGAAATGAAAAATCTGAAATGTCTGATTAGCTTTTCTCATTGATTTGACAGTACGCTCCCCTCGTAATGAGATTAGATCTCATAAGAGTTTGATTAAATGCTTTTGATTTTGTTGCTACAGAATTCTAGGAAGGCAAGTTAGTGTTCTAAGGTAAAGTGGCGATTGATATGGAAAGCGCTGACCATTTGGTACTGGTAGAGACACGCAGAACGCGAGCAGGCGGAGGTGGTGTGGTGGCAAAGGGCGCACTATCCCACACGCTCACCGGTTCGGTTCCCGGATCGATATCCGCTCAGGCCAACTAAGCCTTCCATCCAAATAAGCATTCAATACGCCACTAAAATACTGAATGGAAGTCGAAGTGGGGGCGCATCCCTCAGACGGGATTGATCAACGCCTAAAAGACTATCCCAAGAGGCTTCAATTTTGACGCACTTTCTCGAAACAAAACCTTGAAAAATGAAACGGGGCGAATTTTAGGACGTTGGTCGTTACATCATCATTATTTCGGAACTAAATAGAAGCTATATCATCCGCAACTTTATAATCACGAAGCACGTAAATACTAGAAAATTCGTTTTCAGGAACATCGGAAAAATATGGTGGTCGACAGTATACGCAAAGAGAGGATCAATGAGAAAAGGGAGGTGGAAGCGGAGGTGTTTGGAAAAGACACTCCCGAACCATCGTCGAAGCCTTCAAATATACTTGATAGATTCCGCAAGTGAAACTTGTTCGCCATTCTCACTGTTATTGTCTCGCTGTTGACCGTGTTATTGTGCATTCTGTATTATTGTCCAGATGATCGTTGCTTATGTGATTTTGTTGTTTTCTCTTTCCTGTTACAATTTCCTTCAAAGTTGTTATTGCAGTTTTTGTTTGATAGGTGGAAATGCGATAAAGAAAATAGTGCAGAGCAATCGGAAAAAAATCCAGCAAGCAAATATAAAAGCAACTCCTAACGGAATAAAAATGTCAAGATTGTGATACTGTAGAAAAGGAAGCAGTCGACCTTCAGCGAGTAATTCTTTCACACCACCATTCATCAGAACGAATTCGGTGTACTTTATAAGCTTTTCAGAGGCGTTGAATGGTTTCGTTCGTATCAGTGTTGAGATTCGTACAGCGGCTTCCTTGTACCTACAAAAACTTTGCTTTGAGTTGTTGCAAACTTAAGGCTTGTTTGTAATTTTCGCTCCAGTCTCTTGTTCTAGATCTTCAGCATTACATAAAGGATCCAAATTTACTACCTATATCATCTGATCCAGAAGCATAGATAGGACCATCGTCGCGCTAGCTCAAGGGCACAGTTTATGGTAATATATTTATTATTTATATTTATTATATATTTATATTATAATATTTATCCTACTTAATATAATTCGCTAAGTGTGTCTGTTGGTGTGTCGGTGTGT